ACAGACCTTCGAAAATTAAGTAACATTTAGGATCTGAGATTCTCACAGCAGTAGTTATCAACAGTTCTGTCTTCTATGGTGTATCTTTTAACCACTTGTTTCCACGCTAGTTTCTTGCTTGGCTTATTCTTCTATCCTGAAGACGGAGACATGTTCCTCCGAAACGTTGGCTGACTTTCAGAGGAATTCACAGCATTATATCCCAGCAAACAGAATTTGTATGTAACGTTTATTGAATTATTTCGTAGAATGACCTAGAAAAACATCTTGGCCTCTAGAATCTAATTGCAGAACGGGATGGTGTCACGGTTACGCTATAAACTTACGGATGTACTCGTTTCACATCTCGACAGGGACACCAACCATCATCATTGAAAACTATCTTACTTTTCCTCAGTCCCTCCAGACAAATGCCTGGATAGTAAGTCAATTAGGAGGCTATCGCTTCCTTCCAGAGCCTTTTCAATTCATAATTCGTCCATCATTCTACCATTTGATGCTATATAGTCTCGATAGTGACGTCATCGTAAAGTGACCTACAACTCCACGGATCTGATTACATTTATGTGACACCCGTGGTTCTCACAGCAGTAACTATGTAGAGCACTGTCTTCTGGAATATGACATCGTGTAGTCTGGTATAAGTTTACTGAAATTTGGGTTAAACGTCAGCAAGTATCTACCATAGCGGCCTCCGTAATCTAGAGGTAACGTTCCCACCTCATGACTCGTGGTACGCGGGTTCAAATACCCGGCGGAGGTCGTCGAATTTTTAAGGGCGGAAAAATTCATGGAACAAGTACTCCGGGAGGGACTTTAAGCTGTGTGTCCCGTGTCGTAACTTTACGGCACGTAAAAGAACCTCATATCCCCAAAGGGGATCACTGAGCCAAATTCCAGGACGTTTCCCGCCCAACAATAGCCTCTAAGGCCTCTGATAGATGGGGGAAGCATTATAGATACCGCTAAGCAAGTGGCCGAACTCGCTTGCTCGGCGGGACTGATGGTACGCACCATTTATCGGTAGGGTATAGAGACTGGTAGAATATCATAGAGGGAAGCACAATAGATCAAATTGGTCGCGGTGCATGGGGAAACCCACCCTCTCTAAATAACTAACTAAGTATCTACCATTTTATATGGCTTCGCGTCCTAAAATAATCCTAATCAAGAATACATTTCTTTTGTTGTTAGATCTCAAGAGGTAACTGATGAACAAATGGATCTTGGCAAATGATATATTACTGAGTTTTTTAGACGTTGTGCATTGTATGTTATTCTAATGGACATAATTTTGCGGAAACTGGAATCTTCCGCATTTAATGACCCCGTCATCGAGGTCAGATCTTTCTGACGGAAAAAACAGAGTAGGGATATCCCACACTTTCATCCTAGAACGGAAACAGACCCCACATTCCGAAAAGTTGTGTTATTTGGAACACAAGATGATGGGAAAAGTCCAGAAATGTATTAATCTCTAGCCTAATGCAACAACATCAGAGCCCTTTAGACTATGACAGTTTGTTTTGAAATGTTTAATAAACACAGCCAAAAAAACTATATGAAATATTAATTTTATGGCGAAGCTACAGGTCTGGCAAACAGTGAAAGTCTTTGAGGTTGTGTTTGATTAAGTTTACGTAGCTGGAATTTCTTCATTATACAGTTTATATTATAAAAGAGAAATACAGGATGACCCAAAAAGTTATTTAACCGGTTATTAAAATTTACGTTAAAATTATGTCTTTATTATTGACTGATTTTTTTAAAATAACTTTACAATCTACTCGATATACATAAATAGAGTAATTAGTAAAAGGGATGGGTGTGTGTAATAATGAAGCCGGTATCATCCTCCGATGATTCTCTGGTGCTTATCTAATGAGATCCTCTGGCCACATTCTATTTAGTCTTCTTTCTATTGCTGGTTGGTTGAAGAGGTTTCTTATGAGTTGGTTGTTGTTTTGAGTGGTCCGGTATTCGTGTTTCTCCGCGTATGCTCTGATGACTTCTGTTACATAAGGTATGCTTAGATCATTGTGTAAGGTAGCGTTTGATACGTACCATGGAGCATTAATTAGTTTTCTTAGCGTTTTGGATTTGAACGTTTGGAGAATTTTTGTGTTGGAAGGTTTGCTGCATCCCCATAACTCTATCCCGTAGGTCCAGACTGGTTTGATTATTGTTTTGTACAGGATTATTTTGTTTTCAAGAGATAGCTGTGATTTTTTGTCGATTAGCCAATTCATATTTCTGGCTTTGAGTTCTAGTTGTCTTCTCTTAACTTTTATATGCGTTCTCCGCGTTAGTTTCTCGTCAAGGTGGAGTCCTAAATACTTAGCTTCTTGTTTGATGGGTATGANTGGGTATGAGGATGTTGCTGATACTAACTTGCGGGCAGACAGCTGTTCTTTTTGTAAATATCATTTGGGAGGATTCTGCAGGATTTACTTTGATTTTCCATTGTTCCATCCAGTGACTGACTGAATTTACAAATAGTTTTACGCAATCATATTCTCCGTGTTTACCGCATAATTCATAACACTGTGATAACCTTCTACAAATTGAATGACACGTTTAAATGTGAAAATTTCCGTTGACACAAATGAATATTTTTAAATTGGCTGACTTTTGGGACACTCTGCATATCGCTAAGTTCACCAGGTTAATTTTGTACTTATTGCAGGCCTGGTCATGCAGATCGAAGCTACTGACAGAGAATAGTCATAATTTCCTCACATAGTTTATTGCAATAACGACTCAACCGGCTTAGAAAATGCTGAGCCAGCGTTAATTCTGTGGCAGGCAGCATTCATGAACACAGGCAGCTGCACGCGTGTTGCCGTGTCAGTGTACCATTCTGTGGCTTCCTAGGTACCCTCCCCCGTTACGCAACAGTACAAACATCATGACACGAAGGGAGAGGTGGCTCTGCGGTAACACCGTTGCTTGCGCTTCCCGTCAGGGGAATTCGATATAAACACACACGTGGCAAGTTCTTAATTACAAAACTCAAGCAATTCTTCACACTTTGGCATGTAAAACCGTTTTTAGGCAACGATCACAAAATAAGCAACTTTACAACAGCCGTTGATAAGTAACGGATACGCAAACAAGCAAGTTTCCGAAATAAATACTGCAATAATGCAAAGCGGTGTTTTCTACGTGGTCAGTAGCGAGACGTTATAAGCAGGACCAGTTAACTTCTCAGGAATGATTCTGTTCCATGGAATCAGTTATAATATATTACGGCGCTGATAAATGAGATTGATATAATGTACCCAATTTTTTAGCAAACTTAAATTCAGAATTTCAACTTTCATGGGAATTAATACGGAGTCGGGATACAGTAGTCAGTATAGCGACTGGTTATAAGTTGAAAAACGGAGGGGTCAGAGTTCAGGTCCTGGAAAGATCAAGAATTTCCTCTTCTCCACGTCGTCCAGACCGGCTCTGGAGCCCACGCAGCCTCCTATCAGATGGGTACAGGGGGCTCTTCCCCCGCGGGTAAAGCGACTGGGGCGCAAAGCTGACCATTCACCTCCAACTAGAGCCAAGGTCAAGAATATGGCTCTATAAATTAATTTCTCCATACGCTTTCATGGCGTATTATTTAGTTAAGTACAGGAACAAATTTTACGGGAATTAATAGCTACACAAACTGCAGGACAACGATTTCAAGCTTCTTTTATCGATATGAACCTGTCGCTTCTCATGTATGACAATTCGTGCCCTACATTTATGAGCACCAATTCAACAAATGACGTCCTTCAAGCGCTATTACTGTCAGACGGCTTCTATCTTCAGAACAATACTGTCACAGAAAGAATTGCGGACGACAGCGCGTCATTAAACAAGAAGTAACAATCTTTGCGTCAGTCCTTTCACAACACAGAACATATGGTTAGTTGAAATTCGTCACATACAAAATTGAGATCTAAATATAGGGTTAAACCCTAGGAGATCATTAATTCAGTATTTTATTTTACACAATCAGGATTCTACCTCCTTTGAAAACACTTATGAATCGTACTGAGGTATAGGCTACAACGTTACTGTCAGTTCCTCCAAAGCTCTAAGCTTCACCATTAACGTCAACTTGAAAAGCCGAGGACAACATGTGATGGTAATATTGAGACATTTTAGTGGGGCAGATCATGAGGATAAGAAGTGGATTACATGTTCTCAGGGTTCGTATGCAGTGGCGAATTTTGAAATTAGTTAGTAAATTAATTATGAGGCTTCCAAATATTTTGTTTTTCCAACCTCCTGTCATTCATCACTCATGGATTGTAAAGATCACTCTTCATGCGAATATATCACCGTTTATTGTGTCCAAAACAACAAAATATATATAGTTTATATGACAAAAAAATTAATAAAATTTGTAAAAAGTAACGAAGGTATTGTAAAGGATGTATGTGTGGTTGCTACACTGTATAAAGCGGCCTCCGTAGTCTAGAGGTAACGTTCCCACCTCATGACTCGTAGTACGCGGGTTCAAATACCCGGCGGAGGTCGTCGAATTTTTAAGGGCGGAAAAATTCAGGGAACAAGTCCTCCGGGAGGGACTTTAAGCCGTGGGTCCCGTGTCGTAGCTTTACGGTACGTAAAAAACCTCATATCTCCAAATGAGGTCACTGAGCCAAAATTACGGACGTTTCCCGCCCAACAGCAGTCTCTAACACCTCTGGTAGATGGGGGAAGCATTATAGATACCTCTCAGCCAGTAGAGCCGGTCTCGCTGGCTGGGCGGGACTGATGGTAAGCACCAGTACCGGTAGGATATAGAGACTGGTAGAAATCATAGAGGAAGCACAATGGACCAATACAGATCTGAGTGCATGGGGAAACCCACCCTCTCCAATAACTAACTAACTACACTGTATAATCTATAATGACACACAAATTGAAGTAACATCTGTGTAGGCAGACGCATTTCTCGGATACGCGGTTCTCTAGGGTTTACAAGACATGCCATTCAAACATGTGCAGAGTACCTGGCATTTGGGAAATTCCTCGACAGGACGGTCCACCTTCCAGCCAAGAAGCGGCGGTATACAGATGAGACCGCTGAGTATCCAGACAAGTGTGATCATCACAGCTGCTCTGACAGGTGTTCTCTTCTTCAGGTAGTCCACCGCCTGGGTAATGGACCAATATCGGTCCAGAGAAATGAGGCACAGATTCATGATGGATGCTGTACACAGCAGGACGTCCATCGCACTATGAACATCGCACCACCAGTTCCCAAAAATCCAGTACCCCATTATTTCGTTAGCTAAAGAGAACGGCATGATAACCAATCCAAGGAAGAAGTCTGCAACCGCCAACGAAGCTATAAACCAATTCTGTATATTCTTCAGAGCTTTCTCTGTTGCTATGGCAATTATGACCAGCATATTGCCGACTACCACTACAATCATGAGCAAGGTCACTACTATTGAAGCGATGATGATGTGAGGCATAGAGTAGCCACTGGGGTACAGAAAATCCGGCCTGACGATGATGACGGTGTGGTTGAGGTATGACCCATTGGTGTTGTTGCCAGCGGAGAAGTTTCCTTCCCCGTCATTGTCGTAGAACAGGAGGTAGTTGATGTTGAAGCGGTCCAGCAACGTGTCATTACCTTTCTCATCCCCCTCAAACGGATATATCTCCATTCTTTATATTTCTAGTCTCTCTTTCTGCTCCTTTTACTCGTTACTGTTGATTAATCAGTATCATAAACGAAACTCCTTTGACTTTCTATGAGTCCATCATAACTAGACTGATATAAGACTTTTCTTTGCACCAGTTCTGAGTATCTCTGCAGAAAAGAGCAATTTTTTTTTGTCTTGTGATTCCAAGCGCTTAGGAACCAATAGAGGCACAGAATAGATTGGAAGATTAACGTTAGAATGAAGAGCGTTTTGCTTTCTGGATGACTTTTAAGTCAATCGACACGGATAACCATAAATTAGTGCATGAGGCGACTGTTACAATAGGTATAATACACAGGTTGGTCCCTAAAATAATTATGCGTTATGATTCGTTGATTTAAATTACATTCTATTGCACAAATTACTGTCAAGGTCATGTAGTGTTAAATGAAAACTAAATGTATTATTGGTTTGTTTCTTTTTGTCTCTTTTCTTCGAAAATTCAAGCTTCGTCATTTTATGAATATATAATGATTTTGGATAAGTAACTTTTACAGTATGTCTGTCTTCTTTCACATTACTCAGCTTCGCACTTTCTATCACAAACACAGAATAATTATTTACTTTCCAGAGGCAATGGAAAACATAGGGTAACACTTACTGGGGATCCAAGCTTATCACTTGTTTCTCAAACCGAAGAATTTCTGGAGGGTAGAGGCAGTGGCGTAAATGAGAAGAAAAGTGGCTTAAGTCTTAATAAAATGTATTTCTGCCTTTAATCTCCGTGTATTTAAGGGATAAAAATTTGTAAATATCTTGTAATTACGTGTGATACTGCAAATTTAGTTCCGCACTAACTTTCATTTAACTGGCTGGTATTTCTAGTGTCGTGTCCAAAACAATAGCATAGTTGACTGACGATAACAGCAAACTGAATTATATTATTGAAACATGTAGAACAATTCTCCAAAAACTACAATTTTAATTTAAACATCAAAATCCATTTTATTAAGAAAAAATAATATATGTAATTACTCTTCAAACCTTGTGATAAGGGTGACGACAATTACATGAAGCTGCAAAATTTTATACACATCGAAGAATCGATTAATTTTGACTATAAAATCAAGCCTTCTGCGAGAAACAAATTATTTTATATTGGAAGGGCCACAAATATTCTAAGACTGTGAGGGAAGAAAGAAGTTATAAATTTGTAACTGTCAAGGAACACTTAGGGTGGTCGCCTCTCGAGGTAAGGACACTTAGGAACGAGTTTCAGAATTCGGAATTAATGTTATGTTCATTCAATAATAGATTTCCTATATTTCAAGAAATAGAAAAAAAAATAAATGGACAAAGACGGAGATGAGTAGATTTGTATTGAAAGTTCCGTACAAGAAAATTAGAACACCGTGAACCACGAAGGTATTACAAAAATCCGAACTAGATTTAGTAACGATTATTTCAGCCAAGAAAATAAGAGAAAACTGGGGTGTAGTTGGTTCGGCAGTCAGAAGAAGTTATTTCGAGACAACTGAGTCTTGCTTCCAAAATTACACTTCAGTAAAAGGTACGGGGCTTATGATTAACTGCATTCACAGATTTGAAAAGTAAAAAATAATTGTTACATACGGACAGATCGCAATTATCTACTGAATATTCATTGTAAACAATATCAGATTTAAATTCAGCTTCGTAAAAAATAAAATTATAAGTAAATCTGAAAGCTGGTTTGTTACTAGACCTCCGCTAATAATAGGAACGTTACACTGAAGTAATTTTGAGGTGGCTGGCATCAATTACGTACTAAAACTTTCTAAGAGAAAAATTCGATTCTAAAAGAATTATTGATGCAATCAATTTACAGGAAGTCTTATATTTGTTGGTATTACTTTTGACGAACTTGTTTGTTACACAATCCAAAGTATACAATACCCATTCACTTATTACACGAATCTGTTACTAAAATAAATTATCCTTAATTTCGAGTTTGCCCTTCCTTCTTAGTATGGACAAAGTTAAATTAAGAACAGATGTACAGTAACTGGATAACTTGCTATCTGAGACGGTCTATTTACTTTACTATATCTTGCAATAAGACGACTAAAATATGAAAATTAAGAACATAGTTTCCGAAGTATTTCAGTGAGTGGCGATTACTATAATTGCGTATTGGTTAATTATGATAGCTGAGGAAGTAAATAAGGAAAGAAACTGGTATGCGATAATATAATTCCGGCTTGAGTAAAAACAGAATATGGTAGCTAAATCCAGCTGGCGGGGAAAGGGTGCAATAGGGGAGGGTGTGGGGGCCGCTTTAATCAAAGAATTCCTGCTGCGCCGAGCGCTTCATTGCGCTACGAGCGATCTCAGGATTCCAGGACAACTAATATCTTATACCCGTTTTGCCCGATGGAACTCGATGTCCTTATCAGAGACCACGAGAATTTTTAAACTGAATCACAAAAAATAACTAAAACCAAAATGAAATCAAATATTTCATTTGTATATAATTACATTGAGATTGAAATGGGTTCGTAATATTAAATAACCTTAGTTATTATGATTCAAGATATTAAGTTCTTTTTTTGTAATGTAATTAAGGTGATTTGTTTTACGAAAATATACACGTAGAATTAATTATGTATGTTATCATGACAGGTATTTAATTTATGACACAGAATAACTTTTATTGTATATATTACTTTAGAAAAATACTCTACGGAAAATACATAAATTATGGTACCTATTAATGTATACCTAACGACAGGTTCGTTTCAAAAAGGGGGATTATTTTTAAAAAAGTTGTCTGATATTCCAAATGAATGAAACTGGCACGTATCTATGTACAAGTAATATTGGCTTAACACCGTCATTTATTCATACTGTATACTGTGACTGCATTCAGATGGTCGTAGAATCGAATCCGATCACAAGTCCCTGTATTTCATACTTATTACATATATATATTTCTTTAATTTTTTCTTTTTAAAAGTTACAGGGTATTAGAGCTTGCTACTATACAAGTGTATTTGGCATGGTTTAAATGTTGGCGAAGGTCTGTAACAAAGAAAATTGGTGTTTATTTTCACTTTTGTTCTATTTATATAGATATTTTGCTCTAAATATACATTGTATTAACTTTATGTTTTAGTACCTTGGCTTGCTGGTGGACTTGTGCATCGCTTTGTACTGAAACAGCACATGTGTCTCAGAAGGTCCTTTATTTGTACCCGGCGTGATTCCAAAACGCACCGCCACTCTTAAACACAGCAGTTATTACTTGCTTTCTAGTAAACAGACTGAATTTCTAAAAACCGTCTGTTGAATTCAAAGCTAATGTGTAACATATAAACTGTTAGAAGTTTTATCTACAGAGGAAAAACTCACTACGATCCTTTCTATGAGACGATCTAGGATAAATCTAGTTACAGTCGGTTCTTAGGAAGGAAGATCGGGAGTTTAAAAGTAAAAAATGGTTTAGCCACCCTATTCCTTATTTTAATTAATAAATTTCAATTGATTTTTTTTTAATTTTAATTTTTCTCTTCTCTATGTAAAAGTTCAAATAATAAGAAATTGTTTTTCCCCCAACATATTTTTGTTCCGATATACTGTCCCGTCTTCTTCAGGAAATAAACTAAAGCCTATCCAAACCAAACGTACGGATCCTCTAAAGAAACAACCTTATTGAAAGAAGTTAAACAGTTCTGAGCACTCTAAAAATGCAAAGCCTATCTAATTTCTGTCCGTGTTTAAATTACATAGACAAATTTCAACCCAAAATTACATAGGTTCTACTTGTTACTGTTACTCCCACTGATTCTGTTTGCTTCTTTCGTCAGTCCTTAAAAATTCGAAATCCTTTACATCCGTTAGTCAACGTCCTTTTTTAATTGTTCTGTGAGATTCACGTTTCTTACTTGACGTTTGGGTGTGGCGTTAAGACGGCGTCGCGGCGTCTGATGGCGTCTCTTCCTCCCACCACCCGTGTTCCATGACACAAAATACAGCCGCCACGACCCCCCTCCTCTCGCCCAGAAGCACGTGAATATATACAAACAGCAGCGCGGTTTTGTTTGGTTGTTCCTAATAAGTATACAATTGTTCCGGTAATAACTCTATTCGTTGCTTGAATGGGGACCGGCTGCTTGGTCCAGTAAATTTAATGTTATAAAGTGGATACTTTGTGTTATATGGATTCCTCTTGCCTTTGTATTTATTTACGCAAACGGCCTATCAAATTTATTAGTGATCTTTATTCATACCTCACGTTACAATGGTCATTCCATTGTCTCACCTCACAAATTATCTTTTTTGTCTCTTTGTTGGTGTACAGTGAACAATAGAAAATCCAATTAACTCTAAATTAAAAGAAAATTTCCTCCTGTGAAAAAAATAATAATATTTCTCCTAATGTTAATTTTAGACCAATGCCTTTCGACAGAGTAAATAAAAATCTTACTTCATTCGCTTAATAAACCTATATTATTCAATGATATTAATTGTGCAACATTCCACGTGGGCGAACTTTCCTTACCCCGCTACCTACAAACAGTAATGTCCAATGCTGCAGGTCATTTGTCCGTGCACAATTCCATATATCTGTCTGGTAAGGAAGAAATATTCTATAAATCTGTAACCTCTTTAAAACTGCACAGAACCAGTTTCAATTCAGATCACGGTACAATCATTATGACCACTTGTTAAATTGGTAATCTTTTAGATTCCAAACGCACTGGCTTCATTACTAATAAGAGGCCTTTTGGGCAAAGCTATGATATAAAGAACTTCAGTTTTTGAAGTTAATTTTACTTTATGACCCACAAATATGACGATATTAAGGTTATGTTTACGTTGCAATCGGCTTTAGTAGAAACACTTCCAAAGTATAAAACTGTGTTATTATAAACACGTAAAGATATTCTGAAGAGAAACAAAACCCTTATCACAAATATCGCTGATATCTTGACAACAATTCGACGTAGAAGCGGCAGCCTTCTCTCTTGAATACTGTCAAGCGTTTTACAAAACTGTAACGTTCAGTACACACGGAGTTTCTTTTTATTTACTCTGTTTTATGATGATTTTATCGCTAACTACTAAGTAGTGACCATTATTATCGTCGTTCACTTTCCTGGATGCTGTGAAAACCTTCTTAATGTGTTACATCTGAACTATTGAAACTGATGTGAACAGAAATCGGCGAACAAGCCGCGTGTGTGTGTGTCTAACAATGCATGGAAGAAACCTCAACACTAAACAGTCACATATAACACGTGATGTCCGTTTCAGCTCCGAACAAAAATCTTCGAACAGATACCAGAGTCAGTTTTTTCACAAACAAATGTAAGCAGTCGGGCACCGAACATGTTCCCCACACCGTATTCTATATTCACTTCACAAAGAATTATTTGCCGGTTCACAAAAACTGGGTTTCTGACACAAATCATGCCATTATATAAGGATGTACAGGGGCGGAATAA